TTTTCATACTTGGAACAGTTTGATTGATACTTATATTCAATTAAAAACAATGCATTTGGACTTCTATCGATTTTAGGATCGAAATGTTTTTGCGAACAGACATTTTCGAACATGAATTTTATTCAAAATAAACAAGGAAATCAGTTGAACAGTGTGAGTCTGATGTCATGTTTGGATATACAGAATTTTGACAAACTTTCTCAACAAATTCTGCAACAAAAATCTTATTAGAAACCATATATTGTTCTTATTTTTTATGAAGTATTCTATTTTAACTTTTTTTTTTCATACAAATTAATGTAAAACCATTGAAATCTCAGCCTACTGTTTGACTGATAAAAAATGTTAATTTCTATGTAAATATGTTTAAAATTACTTATTTTTTACTTTAAATTGATAATTATACTTTAAAATTACAACTATTGTAACATTAATAAAAATAATTGAATTGCAATATATTTTATTACAGCATTTTTAATAAAAGCACAAATAAATCCATTGCAACAAAAAACCACACGTTTTGCGCTCAATTTTCAAAAATGAATATTTCACAATTCAAGTTGCTGACTTGCAGCTCCGTAAGTATTATTTTGGTAAATATAACTCTTAAAATGGCTCTTTACGAAAAAAAAACGATGCCGACCCCTGACCTACTTAGAGGGGTCACATTTCTTTATGTCCAACCCCGATCACACCAATCTGATAAACTTCCTGTAGTGTTTCGACCCATCCAGATTTTACTCCCGTCTTCCGGAGTAACAAACGGCGTTCTGTTTCTGTTTTTTAAGGAAAATTCTCAGTCTGCTCATCTGATCTCTGATTATAAAAATGAAATACGAACTGATCACGAAGAATCTGGCTTCATCGTCATCTTGTGCGCCTAACTACACCGAAAGAAGTTGTCATCGTTCATTGCCTTTAAAGATGTTCGAAAAGTTAAAACAAACTAATGAAGTTGAAGGAAAACAACATTGAAATCGGCAAAAATCATTCGAGAAACGAGAGATTCACTATAAAAAAAAAACGAAAAATTGCATATAAATTGGCTGTATAAAATCTACGGACAGATGAAACTACTCAGACACTTACAGATACCTCGTCGCAGCTTCCACGAAGTTGAAACTAGCGTATACAAAACCTGACATGACCATAGTTTCAGTGGATGTGCCAAACTCATCCATTCTTGGATGTTTACAGGAACTGACCTATCAGTAGTAGTGGTTTGGGCCATACTGATCACAAAATTAATTTTTTGAGTAAATTACTACCGAATAAATTAAAATTGCAAATAAAAATTTGTTGTATGAAATTATTTCAGATCACAAAATTATTTTTTCGAGTAAATTACTATTGAATAAATTAAAATTACAAATAATTTTTAAAATTAAATTAAGATTGAAAATAAAAATTTGTCGANGATGATTGACGTTTCGGATGATTGACTTTCGGAAAATCGACGCTCTACTGTATAGAGAGAAAAACTATTTTTTAACAGTGGTTTCGCGAAAAACATCACTCATTCTATGTATAAAAGCATTTATAACCCGATAATTATTAACGACACCAAGATAATATACAGCACTGTTGAACCGATACGGCTTTTATTACTTATTCTGTGATTACAATGATACCCCGAACTTACGCGATTGGTGGGACCGAGAGATAACCGCGTAAGTCGAATTCGCGTAAGTTGGGGTATAATTTCGCAATTTGTGTAAAATCCAAGTCTGATGTAAGGTAATAAATGTTCTCGTTAATCTTATCTCGTCTTTTGATTCATTCACGGTTGCAAGAAATCATCACATAGAGTCTCTCAAGTCTCCGTAGATATAATAAACACAGAAATAAATAACACAAAATAAATTGTAAGTATGCGTCGATTCCGCGCGACACATCCGAACATGTAAGCTGAACAATAGTGTGGGGGGAGTGAATAATCAAGAGTTGCATGGTGCTCAAACAAAAGACGAATCGATGAGATTTGAAAATCGCGTAACTCCGAATTTGCGTAAGTCGAGGGTAGCGTAAGTCGAGGTATAACTGTATTTGCATTTGTTTAACAGTGTTCTCACACATTTCACTGGAAAATTGAATGTATTTAAATACAAAATATTCGTGTGTAGTAAAATTTAACTTTAAAATTCACAAGTAATATTTGACAAATATCATGTTTTTAAAAAAGTATCTACTTCCACTTTATTTATTCTGTTATTATATGCAGCAAATAGCATTATACGTATAAAAATATATGAATTTATAAAAGCAATAATAATTATAAAATACAGCTCTCTCTTCATAGTCCGACAGCTATGGGACCAAAGGGGTGTTGGATTACCAAAACTGTCCGGGTTATCGAAAATAATTACATATTTTGCATTGTTTTGCTAGCAGTAGCTTACAACATTTCGAACAGAACTTCTCACAGAAAACAGGAAATGTATGTCGTCGTGTAAGAATTGGATGGGAAGATTCACGTCGCGACATGCTTCTGTGCAAGCAGACACGTAACGGGGACGGGTACCATAAAGGAAGATGCGTCGGACTGCTGAGCATGTCGGATTAAAAAAGTCGGACTATCAAGGGAGAGCTGTATATGTTAAATTTCAGTTGAAGTTCTCTTTTTTTGAATATATTAAAGCAATCTTGTTCCTAATAAAAGAAAACATGAACTAAAAGAAAATAATAATTTTATGTTGTCTTCTAAGCAAGTAATCATTTATTATATGTGATATTACAATATTAAAAAATTTTCATAATAATTATTAAATATTAATACTAATTTAATATAAATAAGATGTTTTTGAGAAATAAACGATTAGAGAATATTTATTATGATAATCCCGTCGTCAAGTCGAAAAACTAACCAGAGGCACTATAGAACACATTTATTTATAGTAAATTTTTAATGAGATATTATTCCTAGTAAATAGAGTTGGAGTAAAATATCATTGGAAATTTCATGCTTAATCTTACGATCAAAATATCGGCAAAAATGGAAGTTTCTTTTTTCTGGAATAACAGACGGAGCCACTGGATTTATTCAAATTTGAAAAACGTTCCGTTACAACTCAATCGTTAAGAGACGTTTGGGTAAACGACAAGAAAGAAGACGAGAGATATTTTGTGTTATTAATTTATTTTCGATTAGGAAATTGTTCCGAGGAGAAATGGAAGAAAAGTTCTAGGCCATTCAAAGGTAAAACTTTATAATCGGTCCGTCGGGCGCTGTTTTAATTTTTGATTAAAAGACAATGGAACAAGTTGGTTGGTTGTTGCAATAGAGAAGTCTTTGATACGCCTACAGAAATATTTTCAAAAAAATCCTTAACGGCTTTAAATGCGGAGTGTTTTCTTAACTAAATTCTTATTTTACAGATTATTTTAATGACTTCTGTATATTTCAGTATAAAGTTATTAACGTGCAATATGAAAAGAATTGAAGACCTATAAATACCAACTGTCGTCCGTCAATTCTTTCTTAATATCCAGAACGGAGTTAGATGAAAGACGAGAGCAGATATGGAATCCTTAGAAGCAGGAGANTGTGCAATTAGATCAGTTTTAAATATATTTTAATTAATTTCTATACATTTAAATTTATATTACTGAGTATTTATTTAAATATAATTAAGAAAGAGTTTAAAGAATATTAAACTTTAAGAAAACAAAACTCTGATTGTAATTCCTTAAAATTTGTTTTTCATATGATAGATATAAACCATGCAAATAATTGTCAAGTCTTGCCGATTTTTGATGTCGTAATTGTTAAATTTAAAAAAAAAATAATAGATTCATTGTAAAAATCAGTTTACCGAACTCTTTACAATGTTCTGCTACAAACCTAAGCTCCCTGAACAGTGTGTTAAGCAGATACTGGATATAAGATACTGGTTCGATACCTCGCCAAGAACTTCTTTTGCAAGAACGTCTTATACAAGATCATCATCTTCAGAAAGTAAATATTTTTATTTAAAAGTTTGCCTTTGACAAAAAGTTTGACTTAGACCTAAGTCTATATAAAAGTAAATCTTCGAAAAATTTACAAGTTTATGTTTTAGTAAAGTTCATTGACTTATTATTCTAATATATACATAACTGTTTCTTTTCAAAAGTATTTGTTATATTAAAATATGATCTTGAAATATTACTGAATTAGTTTCATATGATAAAATAATTCTGTTTTAATAAATTTTTTAAGTAAGTATTTATTATTAGTATTACTTTAATATGAGTGATTATTGATTTTGAGGCATTGCAATGCATTACAATAAAAATATCTGTTTAACACATTGTTCTGGGAGTTTAGGTTTGTAGTAAGATATTTTAAAGAATTCAGGAAAAACTGATTTTTTGGCTTAGACATACTCTAGATAAAAGTAAATCTTTCGAAAATCCCAAGTTTAACATTAATATATGAAGTTGGTAAAATTTTAAACTATATTGATGAGTTTATAAAATATAAAACTTTGATGAACCATGTTATTCCACGAACAATTTTTGAAAGTTTGTTTTATAAATTTTATCAATCAGGTTCATTCTATAACTATTGTAGTAAAAATCCTGTCAATATCTTTTGAATTTAAGAATAATTGGAGCTGTAATTTTTATTACAATTTTTGTTATTATTTTAAATTGCTGTGCTTTAAAAATTAATACGAGGTATTATTGCAAATTTTTAACCTAATTTTCTAATATAGAGATGATTATTGATTTCGAGGCATTTATGCTTCACGACGAAAATCTCTGCTTAACACACTGTTCAGGGAGCTTAGGTTTGTAGCAGAACATTCTAAAGAGTTCGGTAAACTGATTTTTACAATGAATCTATTATTTTTTTAGTTTAACAGTTACGACATCAAAAATCGGCAAGACTTGACAATTATTTGCATGGTTTATATCTATCATATGAAAAACAAATTTTAAGGAATTACAATCAGAGTTTCGTTTTCTTGGAGTTTTATATTCTTTAAACTCTTTCTTAATTATATTTAAATAAATACTCAGTAATATAAATTTANAAAACTTCGGAGCCAAGACTCGGTAAGAAAATCTGCAATTAATCCTTCTCTCTCCATTTCAGAAAAAAGTTTTTCTATTTGATTCTGAATTTCCACATCTGCATAATTGATTTCTTGACCGACAACGATTTGGATTCTGTATTCGTAATGCTTGAAATATTTAAAAACATTTTTATGATACTGCAAGTAATATGAATCGTATGCAGAAGAGTGGGAAAATGATCCTATAGTATCTGTTTTTGTCACTCCCCAAACTCCAAATGCCACGTAACCTGCCATGATGAAGAGAATAATTATCATGACATACCATAAGAATAAAATATTACCGAGCTTCGTCCAAATTGATGACGTAGGAATGGTCGTGTCTTCAGTAGATTTCCAAGAATTGGCGGTGAAGAGCATTTTTCGAATCCGTGAGTGGTTTTCTAGAGAGAAAAATTTATTGTCATTAGTTTCTTGAAGCGCTACCAAATGATACGTTCTATTTTTACCTGTTTGTGTATTTATTTTCGTAAAGAATAAAGAATGTCTTCCTTGTTTCTCTGCATATCCAAAGACCGCCATGCATGCACCAATGAACGTTATCTGATAAATATAACAGAAGAGAATAGCAATCGATGCGTATAAACAAAAATAAGATATGGATTTGAAAGGTGTAAACATTCCTGAAATGAACGCTATGAAATTCGTTACTGAAGTTACAGTAACAGAAATGGCAGATTCCGAATAAACTTCAGAGAGTCTGTCTGAAACTTTCTTCTGAGAATCGGTCCTTTTCCACGCAGCAAGAAAAACAAAAGCATCGTCCATGGCTACTCCTGAATAAAAATTGCATTCAATATTTATGATGAAAAAGTTATCAATTTAAAAATTATTGAATAACATAAACATTATACTAAACTAACTAAAATAATTTGCAATTAAACTACAGTAAACTAGCGTTATCTCTTACATTTACAAAACATTTTAGTCATGTGTAATATTGAACTTACAGACAGGCAACTGAGTTGTATGTACCAAACTACTCGGATTCATCGGTATATGCCACCAATCGATGACTCAAATATAATGAATTTGCACTTTACAATAACAGAAGCCACTTGTTTATATTCGTAATCGTCGTCTGGTAGCCTTTGCACAAGTCACTTATAATCCTTGGGAATCAGGCTACGTCGCCCAGTTGCCGAATTGTGTGTGAAAAGCTCCAAATCACTCAATGGCACCAACTGAATGGCCGAAATGGTCTTGAGAAAGCTACCATTTATTCATTATATAATTTGATACGAAATACCTGTTATACCTGTTTTAATATTTTTTTAGCCATGACATAGTCGACTAGATTTGTGGCATTTTTATACATATTAATTTATTAACAAAATTGAACAACCAACTTATACTGTGTATTGCTTCTCAACTGTCAAACATTCAGATGTCATTATGTGCATCTGGCACGTGGATACAGAGCCGGCTCGATGGATTGCGGGCTGAATGTTAGTTTGCTTTGAACGTTCCAGGGAGGCCCACTTATGAATCAGGGTTAGACATTTTCAAATTGAGGACAGAAAAGGAAAAGAGTGTAATCGCCAATTTTTTCAAAATTCATTGTTTTGCTGAAAAATAATCTCTTTCCATATTTATATTATTAAAAGGAAAAGAAACTGTCTCGTGTTTTAATTAATTTAATTTTCAGTTTTTGTTGTAGATTGTATCTGCTGTTTGTCGTGTCTTTTTGCTTAAGTAGGACTGAGTGTATTTAAGTTGTCAGCTAAGTTGGTATTGTATTAGCTTATGCTTACTGTATAAAATAATCTTCTATAAATTGTATCAATATGCATGTAGAAAATTGTTTTCTATCATAGTAAGAAAAACGCCGGTCAGCACTTTTTAATTAAATCGTATTTTTAATTTATTTAATTTATAATATACGTGAATTTATAATAAACGTACGAATTGAAAGTAACTCTTACCTATGATTAAAAAGGGTATAGACCCAGCAGGAGCCAGAAACGGTGTATTAAAATACATAATCAATCCAAATGACGAAGCCAAAGACATTCCTCCCGATGTTAACGCAATTATTCCTGTCCAAGGTTTGCTTTCGATCCAACTGTTATACAAACAGGTCAGCATTGAAAAGATTGCTATTGCTAACATTGTAATCGGGATTCGAGGAAATATTCGAGCGATGAGAGCAGATAACTCTTGTTCAATTGTAATCGATGTGTATCGATCGACGATTATGTACTGAAATTTACTCGATGCAATAAGATCCGAAAACAGATTTTGCCATTCTTCCACTTTGCTTCTTTCAAGTTTCGAGTAGTCGTTAAAGTAATAAAGGAGCCGCAATACTTTAGCACTTTTAACGTAATCTTCTGCATTTTTTTCGACTCCTCCTAAAAATAGACTCGTTAATTGAAAATCGTATTTATCTTTCTTGCTTAAAGGGTATTTGATAGAATAAGTGTTGTTTTCCATCATTTCGATTTCGTTTTGCATTAATAAAATAGAATTCTCGAAGCATCTCTTGTTATTTCTTGCGCATAAATCTTTATATGTGAAATT